ATTTCCACCTAAAACTCAACCCACCCTTCAAGATTCAGCCCATGCTCCATGGCAAGGTCTTCAAAGTGAGCTTTTCAGAGCCCAGTAACACCAGGGAAACGTGTAGTGTTGGCCCAAAGCCCATCTGTTGCTACGAAGCCAGATGTTGGACCTATCCTTCATAATACTTCAAGGTTAATATGCCACTCTTGTAGAAAGAGGCTGCATTTTTCAGGTAAAGTCTGGATGTGCTCTTGTTAGAGGAGGGGAAGAGAGTAAGAAAATGACCCTCGTGTTGATATTTCTAGAGCAGAAAATAATTCTCTTAGTGTCTCTAGCAAGAGGACACTGAGGGCTAAGAAACACAAACAGTACAATAAACTGGTGTGAAATGATTATCAAAACAAAGACTGTATAATTATTATTAAAATTCTAGAGCTTGGGATGTCTGAGAGTCTCAAGAAATTTAATTGTCTTTTTTGTGTTTGGTGCATCCCCATGTTCACCAATTAATAAGTTACAACAGCAAAGAAATCTTGCTGATGAGATCTCAACCAGGCAGAGAACTGGAAGAGGGGAATAATGTTGGAGTCAGCAGAATAAGATCTGTCCTTACCAGCTGTATTAATCTGGGTTAATTATTTAATATTTATGTAAAGTAAAGAAGTTGGATTAGACATTCCAAGTGACCCTGTAACGTAAAATGGAAAAGTACATTCTGAATTAAATAGGACAATATTTAAATTGACCTTTAATCTGAAAACACCGCAGACTTGTTAAAAGCTGATTCAGCTACAGAAATCTAGAGGCCTGGAGTACAAGAGAAAAAGGGGAAAAAAAGAAAGAGAGAAAAAGAAAAAGCAGGCAAGACACTCTTCTTATAATCCAGTCCCTAAGAGGTTTAGGCAAACTTGTTGTTTAATGGTTGCAAATTTACTTGGTTGCTTTCTACCTAATTGATCCAACTGAAGAGTCTACTGTAAAAAGCTCTGTTTAAATTAAATCCACTTAGTCACAGAAAATTTGCAACTTTGCATAACTAAGTACGTCCACAGATGTCTATTAGCTGATTAGGGCCTGAGGATCCTGGGAGAGCCAGATAGACGTGCAGGCTGCTCTATCAAGTGCAGCGTTACCACATTCTTGGTGGGCACTGGGAGGACATACTGTGGAGCTCTCGTTTCCTTACCTTGAAATCTGAAAGTAGCTGAAGCATCTGAGGATGTATAAAGAAAGAAAAGAAGTATGAGTGAGGAAACAGAATCCATTCGCCTTCTATCAGGGTAGAAAAAATTTGAATTTAAGAGTGTCTTTGTTAGTTTTAATTTTTACCGAGAAAGTCGGATTGTATCTGGGAGATGAGAGAGGGAGGCACGGAACATGTTCCCAAGACAATGTCCCCAAGTTATGGAAAATGCCAGGCAGAGGCAGCCTCAGGAGTGGCCGCTGGGGAAGACGTGGGACAAGTTTGTCTTTTGTGATATGCTCTGTGGCCTACTCAGTCACCTCCTTCTTGATTCTGTCTCACCTTCTGTTTTATACAGATGAGACGACCGCACAGAGCAAAACACCAGCCATTCCCACTGCTGAAAATGAACGGGAAGAAGAGTTAACTACTAGAAGCCAAGTCCACACAGAACGGGGAACAGGTTTGTCCATATATTAAAATAGCTGCTCTGGAGTTATTGGTATGATGCAACTCTATTTAATAGGACCTGTCCCTTTGATGAAACTGTGACAAAGACTGAGAAATAGGAACTAAGGAGACACAGTCCCTATTGCAGAAGAATTCTCACCTCTGGAATATCTCACAGAAATTATACTGTAGATTAAAGAAATTAAAGCAGTTTAGTAAAGTACAGAAAGGATGAATGTGACCGTGAAATCGTGGGCCAGATACTGGGAGCCGAAAGTGCAGGGGCGAGAAGGGCCTGCAGGGGCGGTGAATCCAAGTGGGGCTCGGCCGTCCCAGGGGCTGAGCCTGAGTGAAGGCCCACAATACTTATCTCACAGTGTTTCTCTAAAGACGAGCTAAGAAGATGTATGTAAAATTGCTCAGCTGGGAGCCTGACACATCGCAAGTGCCTAATAAATGAGAACTATAAACCTAGCTGAGAGCGGAGATAAAGGTGGTCAGGCGGCAGTCACTCCTTGGTTATTTCTCTAGGGAGAAAATGACTTTATAAGAGCAAGCAGAAGTAAAACGAAAGAGGTTTTCTTGTAGGTGGGGTTTTAGCTGGATACTCCAGAATTTAGAATAAAGCCTCGAAGAAGACTTAGAGTGGCTACAGGATCATTAGCTAATAGAAACATTGAGAAAATGCAGTGAAATACATGGAAACGACACATTTTAAAAGAGGCCAAGGGAGGAAAATAGGACTAGTGCTTGGAACTAATGATTAGGCTTCTGGGTCCAATTAAACAATTTCATTTTCAAAGTGATTTCGAGGTGAAGCCAACATGATGGTGTCAATCCAGAAAGTATTTAAGGCCCAACTACAGACACACACACAGTTTTATATGCCATAAATCCTACAAATAATGGCTAGCATGGTAGGGCATCATGCTAAGAGTTTTCATGCATTATCTGATTTGATTCTCATAGGAACCCAAAGAGATAGAAATTATCATCTTCACTTGCCCAAGAGAATACTAAAATGCAGAGAAATTAAGTAGCTTGTCCAAGGCCGCCCAACTAGGAAGAGGCTAAAACTCCATCTGTCCTATTCCAGAGCTCACACACCAACCACAGCTATCAACAGCCACAACGAAGAGGAAGACAAGCCCAAACCAACCTTTATAAATAACTGCTACGGAATGACCAAACACAACTGAGTCCTTGACTATGTGACACATGATCGTGCAATATGTTATTTGTAATAATTAAATTCAAGAAAATCGTGTGGCTGTAGCAGTAAGAGGTTTTCAGGACATAAAATGGCATTTGGAGAGAGAAGAAAAAAGAAACGTAAAATGCAGACTGATGGGGGAGGTTGGCTCTGGCAGAGCATTAAGGTTGCTACAGTAGAAACTTCGGGTAAAGAATTTAGGGGGACTGTTGACGACAGCTCAGATGAGACACAAGAAGGATTTGGATTCAGCAGGTGGCGGTAGCATAAATCTGGAAATTGATAGCAACACAGCCTCTTTGGGGTTGGCCTGAAGTTGATTTTGGGTGTTGGCTCAATGTGTCTCCTTTCTGCTTACCATTTCTACATTTTAAAAAAATGTACTGTCTATAGCCATGCGGCCCCGAACGTGTCTGATCTCGTTTGATCTTGGAAGCTAAGCAGGGTCAGGCCTGGTTGGTACTTGTATGGGAGACCACCTTGGAATACCAGGTGCTGTAGGCATTAAAAAAAAAAAATGTACTGCTTCTTGTAGAAGTCAATAGGGGTTTCTTCCAATATTTTCTCATACTCTTCCCTTCAGTTAATGAGATGGTTTGCTAATTTCTGACCATGAAAACTTGTTGGGTAGTTGAAAGTAGATATCAGAATATCTAGTGTTAATTCTGTGTTAATTGCTAGTGTTGATTCTGACATATTACCTCATCAATTTTACTAGTTAACTGTTAAAAGTTGAGCAATAGCTCCTTAAACACAGTTAAGAAAAAGAAACCCACTGTGTAATCGAATTCAAAATGGTATTTTTTAGACATGACCTATGTATTCTGACTTATTTTGAAATTTCATCTTTTTAGGAACAAGAGGGCAGCAATTTGCCCACACTTTCTCACAACCAGGTATGTTAATATTTGGCATGGAATGACAATCATTTCATTATAAATTATGCCTAAAAAGTGTCGATTTTAAAAACAAAACAGTATGTTAATAACTTTAGTCACACAACTTTGTAAAGGCAAAAAAAATACTCTTTTTAGTTGAAACAGGCATTTCTTTTCTTGAACATTTTGGAAATAGCAGTACATAACTTGATGATAATTTTTTTTGTTAGATTTTTTTTAGCTTTCTAACCAATCATGGTTACTTAAGAAAAGTCTGTTAAGAGTTTTTAAAACATTTGAACTTCTCTTATCCCTCCTGTAAAGAATGTAAGAAACTTAAAATCATCTAATTATTTGCTATCACTTCAAAAATAAATATAGACCATTCACGTCTCAATCCTAATTCATTTTTGGCCCTATGCTACCACTTGGGGGCTCTCTTCCCAGCCCTTTATAACTGGGTACCTCGCTTTCCCCTTTAGGAGCTGCTGTAGACCTGACTTGAGTTCACATATGTGCCTATTTCTGCATTTCTAAGCTTTCCTTCACACTTGGCCTGTATCCATACTACTTCACACAAGAAAAAAACAATAGATTGTAGAACCGAATCACTAGCTCATAAATTAAAGCTACGTGGACAGGAAGGCTAGGCAATACCAATGGGAGAAAAAGTTATTTTGAGTTTTTATCAATAACGAGATTTTTAAATATAAATTAGCCAAATAAATAAGCCGTTTTACCTGTATGTCTTGCCTTCAATTTTATTCATTTGGAAGCATTACAAATACTATGAATATGCAACAGCACCTCTAACTTAAAGTTTGTTTTATTCTCAACACGTAAAAGATTTGAAAAATACTTTTAGTGATTATACTACAGTATATGCATAGGGATACTGTGGAAGGAAGAGAAGCTTAGAATATAGGTGACCTGAATTATGGTTATAATTACTTCTAACTAGTTGTCTCACCTACGATAGGTAACTTGAACTCATTAGACTTCTCATTTGTAAACTGCTTATACCAGTTTCCTTCCAAACTTCTGATTCTATGAGCTGCCCAATACCGTTTTGTACATCAAGACAATATTTTCTCTCATCACTTTGAAACTATGAAGGACTCTATGGTTTTTCCCATATCGGGGTAACCTAGCTGTCATCCAAAATTAAGCCTGTGAGGCTCTGTAAAGAACACTGAACTTGGAGATGGAACCCTCGGACCTTGGTTCTGTCAGTTGTGTGTCCTTGAACCAAAAATTTTACTACTCAGAGTTTCAGTTTGTCACATGGTTACTGCGAAAACCTCATTTTTAAAAAGATAAAATATAGTAAAGTATATTATTAATATAATAAAAGTAGATTAATTTCTTTCTATAAAAAGGCAAAGTGATATTACTCTGATTTTACCTGTTTTATTTTTCAATTGACATGTGGTAGTTTATTTCACACTTTTGTAATTTTCTGCTCTCTTTTTCTCCCAAAGTAATAATAGTCATTATTTTTGGTGTGATGGCTGGTATCATTGGAACTATACTCCTTGTTTCTTATGGCATTGGCCGCCTGCAAAAGGTGAGAATCCAGTTTTTAATTTTACTGTAAATACTGGTGTGAACATCACCAGGAGGGTTTATTCCTTTGGGTTCAATTAAATTCAGAGAAACAAAATTGCATAAAACTTCACCTTTTTCAACTGAACACAGAGACGTCACTGAGTTACTCAAGCAGAAATTTTCTTTTTGCATTTACCCTATAAAGGAATCCCCAAATATAAACCTATCCCCATTTCCCAATGAAAGAGCCTCCAAAGCTTTCATCTAACTTGATTTAACATCTTTTGATGTCTATAGATGAAATAGACAATAATGATAATGTTTAGTTTATTTAATCTGAGTATGAAAAATATTTAAAATAACATGATATATTTACATATATATAAATCACTTTTTTCATTCTCGTATTTCCTGAAACAAATATTTCAAACTTCGCCCATGAATTTTCCAGCACGAGTGATTTTTTTCATCACTAAAGCTCATTTTAAGTCCATAGGACAGGGCTTCCCCGAAGCATATAACTTGACTATAACCTTCCATTTAACGTGTTTCAGACATAACATTTGTGCATGTATTTATAACGCTGTAATTGGAACTGTAATCTGAGATCATGGAGAGTGCAATCTCAAAAGAGCAGGACAGTTGAGTTTTTTATTCCTCTTCTTCTTGATCTCTCTTTGTGATCTCCATGTCACTATGTAGATATTCTTTTAAAAAGGCCCGTTTAGAGGAGTAACAACATTAAAATGGTGGGGCTATAACCAGATTGATGGCAACTCTACATTAAATTCCTTTTCTTTTTCATTTTTTTCTATCTCCATTAGGTGACTTACACAATCATCTAAACCTACAATCAATTATTATTACTCTATATAAATGGATTTTCTCTAAATAATATTTTCTTAATAAAAGTAAAGTAATGAAAAGCATTTGCTCTAATTTGAGTGATTCTGTAAGGACTTGAATGAAAGATGCTTTCTCTTGTCTGTAGTATAAATATTGAGGAAAAATTATCTCCTTTTGTTTGGACATATATGACAAACTGAGATGTCTTCTCTCTTGATGGATAATCTAAAGTCTGAAAAAGTCGAAATACTTAGTTGACAAAATTCAGAGAAAATCTTCCATATGGATGTAAAAGAATTTGGTCATGGTCCATATGACTAAGAGATATTACTTCTTTTTGAAAAACATTTCCATGTTAGCTTTTATGATAGTAGGGAAATATGACAGAGTCAATGTTTGGGGTAGTAATTCATCTATGGAAATGACAAATACTATTTAGAAATACAAATACAAGTTTATATCAAGTTTGTAATTATCTATGAAACAATGACTTCTCTCAAAAAAAGAACTCCACAAAGTGAATTTTAACCGATGAGAACCAACTTTAGCTAAAAAAATTTTTCAATCTGAGGCATTTTTCTATATAGTGTCTTAAGTTAATAAAATTGCGACATTAATATTTTTCTGGGTTTTGTTTATAGAAAAGTTTACCTCAGGAACAACCTCCATTTTCAAACGATGAAGGCCCTCCTTTAAGTTCTGTAGAAACAGGAAATCCAGGTCGGTGTCAATATCCTTATTGCCTTTTGTCTTTTGGGAAGGGAAATAAATCAATGAGTTTCTTCTTTCTGAGCTGGGAGGGCTGTGCTCAATTAAGATTCATTTAGATTCTATTTTATCAATGCTATCTCTGTAAGATTTTTTAAAAAACATGTCTGCAGCATAATGAATTCTCTCAGGCATAAAGTATCCTTAACAAAAAAAACGTGAAACCAATAACTGCAAGTAAAGCAAAAACTAAGTTCTTTTGTGTACTTATTTTCCAAACTGCAAAGTTGTTTAAAGGAGACCCTACAATAGGTATAATTTAATAGCCCCAGATCTGGACCACACCTGGATTTGAATCTATAATCCCACACTTGTAACCTTGGGCAAGATACTCATATGGAGATAATGATAGCTAACATGGAGAGACTTCAATCTGGACATAATGATAGTGTCAGTCTCATAGAGTTTCATGAGGATTAAATGAGCTACGAATATACATCTAAAACAGTTCTTGGTCCTAGTGAGTGCTGGAAGCTATTAACTAGTATCTATAGTGCAGGCTCCATTCCTAAATGACTTCCTCCAAACAACTGGCTGGTCACTTGGCCCCTTGTTTTCATTTCCATTTCCAGCTGCTAAGTAAATGCACAACATGCGAAGGACTGCCTGTATATTTTGTTCGTCAGAAACAGTATTGACTCAGGCAATGTTTTTTAAAAAGAAAGTTCAGCCTTAAAAAGTGGCAGATTTTTACATTAAAAAACATCCAGATGTTTGTACTCCCTTATGGCAAAAAATAAAAAATAAAAAAAATAACCTGTAATCTTGAACGATGCTGGGGCCTCTGAGAGAGGTTCATAAGAGCTGAGTAGCGGTTGCTACCTCAAATATCTGTTTAAACACTGAGTCATTTTCATTTATTTCATTCATTATGGCCTCTTATACAATCTCACTAATCGAGTATCTAGTTCCAGTTAAACTTTGCCTAAAGCATGAACTCAAGTGATGTCTATTTTGGGAGATGTCCACCAAGAACAAGCTTCTGTGGGATGGGCTTTGATGCTCAAGCAAAACAGGTCTGATTTTGCCTTCTACAACGTTAATAGAAGTTCTCCCATAATTATCATAAATCATGACAGAACTGAGGTCCTGTCAATTTCCAGATTCCAGTTTTAACCTGGGACCAAACCCCTATCTTCGAAGGAAGATAGGTTTTCTAGAACTTGGGATCCTAAAAAATAGAACATTTTAAAGATCTACCAAAGCTCCATAACCTATCTGCAGGACTTGCTTCATCACATTATCTCATGGGTCCTTAAAGCTTAAGGGTGATTTTTACATAATCACTTAGACCTAGGAACTTGATGCTCTGGAGAGTAAATGACATACACATAACTCTCAGCTAACAGGATGAATAAAATCCTATCTGCAGATACTTAAAACAAGAAAAGTTTTGAATCATGTACCAGATTCACTTCATTGACTAAGGTTATCTTGTTATAGGACTTTCAGCTGGAACAAATATCTATAAAATATTTTATTTACATTCTGCATGGTTTCAAAAAAAGTTTGATGATGTTTTTAAAATTAACCCATTACCACCCCAAACCTAATTGTTTGTCACTTAAATTTCTATATATTCTTTTAGCTCTTATTTATTCTGGTGACAAAATTAGTGTTTAGCATTTCCTCTGCCATTTTTTTAAAAAATACAATCTTGAGCCTCTCTGTGGACCAGCCTATAAAAGTTTGGGACAATTTAATCCGCCAAAGCGCATTAAAATATCCTTGTAAGCTTTAAGTGCAATAAACATTTATCAAATGCTTATTGTGGGCTGGGCACTACACTCACATTAAATATATCAATATGAGTCTCCGTCCTCTAGAAGTCGAGTGCCTAGTGGGGAAAGAGAGCGGGGTCATTGCAGTGATGTGTTTTAAAGCAGCAGAGGAGACAGCCTCTAAAAGAGACTGGAGCAGGTAGAAAAGGGTTCTGGAGACGGAATCACCTGAGGCAGCGTTTAAAGGAGAATTGGATATTCTCAGGGCAAGGCATTTGGGCAGCATGACCAAAGGCGTGGAAGAAGACAGAGCGTGGTGTGCCCAAGGAGTGATGTACATCTCCACATCAATAAGCTTAACGCTTTAGTTCTCTCCTCCTGTCTCAAATATATGTCAAGGCAGTGGAAAGTCAGATGAACCAAATTTTAGGCTTTTTTAATTTCATCACATGTGACCAAATGAAGTTATTAAATGTGACTTAATAAGTTAGTGAAATGGGTTTTAAAATCTGATCCCACCTGACAAGAAACGTTAGAAAACACATAAGATTATTTAAAAATGGTTTCAGTTCTATACTTATGGAATACTGCTCTGAAGTAATTTTATAAACCAAAGGCAATGAGAGGTTAGAGTGATGGCGCCATCTCACCAAGAACTGGAGATGTTAGGGTATAATGCATGAACTGCTTTAACCTTCTTGAACTTGCACATGATTTATTTGGGGTGGGTAATGATAATAAGTGAATCTGCATCAGCTGCCCATGGTAGTGGCCACATGTGACTCCCCAATCCACTTCTCATGGGATAATGCTTGGGATGCACAGTTCTTATGATAATCCAAAAGAAAGAAAACTGTGGGAAAAGCTCTGCTTCCACAAGAGCGAAGACTCTTCTCATCCCTTTCACACACTCTCCCACACTAACTTCAATCCAACCTTCCAACTGAAAAAGATGGAATCTTGGATTTGATGGAGGAGACCAGTCCAGTCTCCTGCCACTTCCACATCCTAGAACCAGAGAGGAATTCAATAGTGAGTTTCTGTACAGACTTCTTGTTCACGTCCAAGAAAAAAAAGTTATTCCCGAGAGAGATTACAGACTAGAGAGCTTGCCTTAACTTCAAAACACGCACATATATAATTCAACTCACTCACCACTACATTCTGCCCCTACACAAGTTGTTTGTCAGTTTCTATTCTGTGTAGAAAGCAGGAACAAGGCAATTATGTTTGTTTCTTACTAGAAGCTTTTAGAGCAGATTTGCTAAGAAATTCTATATCTCTATACATAACTCTGATAGTCTGAATGAAAATTCATTTCCTAACAATTATATGCAAGGACAACTCTGTAAGAATGTAAAATTCTGAAATGTATTTTATTCATTAATTTCCCATTGTATTTAAATATAACTATGTCTCATACTATTGTTTTATTTTTTTTCTCTATAATCCTTCTACAGAAATGTAATCAATGAGAATTTGCTCATCAAGCCAAATTTTGGAAGAAATAAAAGACACAAGACTTCAGTCGAGTGAAAAATTAACATGTAAATTGGACACACAAATCAATTGTATACCTTCCTAAATTGTACAACTTCAGGATGAAAATTTCATCATGATGAGTCCAGTGACTCAATGACGGAAAATGTCTCTACTCGTTAATATATCAAAATAAAGAACAAATATTTCCTTTCATGCTTGCTTTTCTGTGTTAGGATAATTTTTAGAATTGATTTGGAATTCTGATCCAAAACTTCAGTAGGCATCAGCTGTAGCTCTTTAAGACTGATTTATTCTATGCTATTATATTTTAATGATCATGCTATTAAATGAAAGGCTTTTCATGTGATAGAGGAAATTTAAGTTCTCTTCTCATACTAAACTTCTGAGTCTATTTCCATTGTTTTAAATCACTTTAGGAGACTCTGAAATCCTATCATTTCCTTCATTGCTGAACAAGCAAAATATGGCATTAGATTAATGATAGTGATATTTGTCATACTAATAAAGTTTGTACTTAGAAATGCCTTGCATACATACATACATACACATATGTACATATTCATAGATATATAAAATACACTCATATTCATCCTTGAATGCATAAATCAATAGAAAAATTTTTTGCTTTAAAAAAAGTGAGGTGTTACATATGTATAAATGGCTCATTTGAAATAATTTGTCTGACAGCAGAGCATTAACTCCTTCAGGCCACTGACTGATGCTTTGTGTTCCACTGGAAGAGTTACTTAGGTAAATGGTCAGAGGATCCTGAGAAAGAAAAACAACCAATGACTTTCTCTTGCAAAAGAAACTTAACTCTTTAAGTGCAACATGTCAAGATGTGCGAACTTGACATGCAGGTGAATGTTTGAATAGTTGACCATTGAATTCTTTTTTAGTGTTCTCAGTTAAATTCTTTAATCCATCTAGTTCTGGTTTCTTTTATTAATGAAGCTTTGGAAATTGGTTTAAATAATCTAAAAGAAATTTCTAGATATGAGACTAAGGCTTCGTGACTATATAGCTTTCATTCATTTATATTCAAACTTAAAAAGCAGTATAAAAAAAAGAAGTACCTTCTTGTGATATTCTGTTTCCACATTAATACAAATTTATATTCTTTCCCTTGTGTGATAATTAAATGAATAATATTGTGTACATATTTGGGCCTGGCGACTTAAATTTATTTTTTAATAAATTAAAACATTTAAATCTTAACCTACTTGTATATTCAGAGTGTTCTTATACTGAATCGACTATTTAAAATAAAGAATAAAAACAGCACGTTTCTGTTGGTGTATATATTTTTAAAGTAGTTTTAATAGTATTATTGGGTTAATTTAAGAAAATGAATGACCCAAGCACCAAGGCAGTTTTAAATGTACTTTTTTCAGTAAGAATAAATTGTTGAATCAAAAGAGAACAAGAGGCTAACCTTATCTCTAACAATTTACAAAGCAAAGATAGTAAGAGATTGTGCCATCTAGATCAGAGCAAGAGAATTCAGAGAATAATTAAAGAATTGCTTTAACCTCCTCGAACTTTTGCAGTTAATTTATTTGTACTTCTCTCTATGGACTTTTCACATTTAAATTTAATGTTTATGGGAAGAAATGACCTTTACTCTTTTCATATTTTTATTATTAAATCAGCGTAAGATTACAATAAAGAAATCTTACTAATGAAGCCATCATGACCCCTATATATAGTCTGTACTGAATTTCTTAAAATTGGGACTGGAGTAGGGGATGGGAGTGAGGCTGATTAGCAAATTTTATATTTTAGGCCTTGGGTGTTTGTTCGTGTAAGTATGAGCGAAAGGTCTAAACCTGAGAGGCATTGTGAAGGGAGAATAGAGGGAGCCAAGAAGTGACATGGCGAAAGGGTCTTTTAGTGATGTTGATAGAATAACTGAGTAAGAGCCTCTGGTTTATTCTAAGCACTTATCTTATCAAATAAGAGCCAAATGTCATTTGGCAAAAATCAACACGAAATTCTACCCAATATCATGCACAGGCCTGTGTCATTTGTATTGCCTAACAGTGACCAGAATAGCAATGGGGTCCACCCAGCTTTTGACAGAGGAACAATAAAAGAACCAATTCCATAGAATAAATTGTCAAGGACACAGGGGGCCTATCTTAACGTATTCTTTGTTGTATCCTATGAGTCTTGCTCACTCAATATAATCATTATATTGACAAAATTATTAATGTAGCAAAAACATCTCTTAATGAAAATAGATAAGGCATCCCCAAAACACAGGCAGGGAAGGCTCTAGGGAGGCACTAAATAACAAACTAAGAACGCTTCAATCTCCCACGCCTACCTTCTCCTCTGTCTCCGTGTGAACAGGGGTGCTTGTCACAATTGTCAGACTTGACAGATCCCACAGTCTTGAGGAGACAAAGACAAAACATGAAAAAAATCACGTCAAACAGTCCCATGCCACGACTTTGACCCTAGGAAGTGTGGAGAGATAAAATCAGTTGGAATTCTGTTCATATTTCTGTTTTTGGAAGAACTTTTCAAAGTGCAAAGCCAAGTGCATAGAGAACAATGGACGCTTCTACATCCTGGCCAGGAGTCTTCATGGTTCTTGCCCATCAGATTCTCTCACTGCTATGGACAAATGACTGATGTGTGTTTCTGCTGAATCCTCCAAATCTCCAAGTTTTCTAAGTCTGTACCCCAAGTGGTTAGTACTAATTCTCAGAATTATCATGAGAAATGAAACCCAATACTATTTCTGATTTAAAATACAGTAGAAGCATCATCTATGAGTGTGCCACCATTGGCCATGTGACTTTCTATAGTAAAAGAAAACAAGTCAATATGAATTATACACCAGAATATCACTTTGGGTACTAGACTTTGAAAGTCCCTCATTTCTTCAGGATGAGTAATCTATTTACTAAAAAAAATAAAACCTTGAGAGAGTGATGCCATCACCTATTTCAATAACTTGTATAGTATTTCACAATTTTACTAGCAAATTCTAGGAAAAACCTATATTAGGCATGTAATATATTGGCTGCTTTTGACAAAATCTGGAAAATGTCACCATTATGTCTTTATGATTTTTTCATTCTTCTGAAACATTTGCAATCATTAGCTTTGCATCTAAAAAGAGAAAGCGTAGATGCCAAAATCATGAGCACACTTTAGCACACAGATCTCATCTGATCTGACTTTTCCCTTATGGTCAACATGACATCAGACTTACATATTTTCTTTCAGGTTCATTGATGTATGCTCATGTAATAGTGGTCTTGGTTCAAACTTGAGGTGACTCACTTGCAACTTTGCGAAAGTGTCCCTAGGTACAGGAGCAGATGGATATGTTCTCAGATGTAACCCAGAACATTAGGAATATATGGCCACTTGGCTCATTTGCCCTCCCTACTTTACAGGTTCAACATCCTGATATGTGATGCTTGTTCTTTTGTTAACAATCTGGTGTATGGCCAGTAGTATACTACAACTACCTGAGGGAGTAACAGGGAATAACAAACAGGAAATATTACTGCTCCCCATGGGCTATGTGTCTGGTCGATGAGACATGTTGAGGCCAGTTTCATGGAACCTATTTAATGGTGATTCTTAAAATCCGAAGTTTATGGTTTAGTCAAGGAGAAACTGATGGACCATTCGCTTTTTAATAATAAAACTAGAGTTTAAAAGTTAATACCAAATGTCTCATGTCATCTTCTAGGATAGAGCACAGCCAGAGACTCAAGTTAGAATATTTGACAGTGTGGATATTGATGCTCGATAAGCCCACCTCCTGTGGTGAAGCAGCCAGGATCTGATAGTGACAGCCTGTCCTCTGCTGCGCTCTTTCAGGTACACGTCCAACTCACATTTTAACAATACCCTCAGTTCCCTGCTCCATACCACTACTCATGCTTTGTAAACTGCCTCAAAGCAGATTTTACTTCTAAAATGGCAACTGAAAGAGAGTGGTATATCTATACAATTTATATCAAGAGAAAATGCAAACAGAGTATTTGGAAAAAGGAGCTTGGACTATCATCAGCCCATCCACCCTCCTTTGCCGGGGGCCAAACCTCGAAATGCAGAACAGCCAATTCTGAGTTCCTGGCTTTATCTCAAGACACAAGTGCTGGTAAAAACAGGGGCACTAGTATTCAACATTATCACCCTGAAACGTTCTAAAAAATCCACCTTCACTCCAGACTTGCTCCCAGGTAGCAAGGCTCATAGAAATTGTAAGTATGGATCCTCAAAGCAGCAAGCACCATGTGCATTTTGGGAAGTGCATTTGGTGTCTTATTCCTGAGCTGCATCGTATCACTGTCTTCCTTTCTATCAGACTTAATGTCTGTATCTCAGATGAGAAAAATGATCCATCTGTAAGCAATGTTAACAGCAACTAAACAGTAACTCCCTTATTTGGTTATGCAGAAGTCTAAACTATCTGCTGAAGTTTGAAGGGCTTTCTCTGCCAAGTTTAAAATTTGAGAGTAAGAAAAAGCAAGTCACGGTCAAAAGTTCTGTAACATTTATTCTATTTAAAAGGAAACAACCAACAGGCATATTGAGATGTACTGACAGGGTGCATCAGAACGTCTGAAGAATTACCTGAGTGCTTAGGACATAAATTACAGAGCCCCACCCACAGAGATTCTGATCCCATAGATTGTAGCATGATCTGAGAATGTTTTTAACAAGCTCCCACGTGCTGTCACTGCTGCTGGTCCTCAGATCACATAATGGAGTCACTCTTGGGATGTAGTGACTTATATGATACTACAGCAGGTCCTCGAATAACGTCGTTTCATTTGTTTTAACACTGATGGGATGTTTTTACCAATTAGCCCATGGTAAATTGGGTTCATTATGTCACAGACTTAAACGAGGACTTACACTATATTAAAACTCACTAGAGAAACCCCTGGTAAACTATCTGCATATCCAAAATTCAAGATAAAAACATTTTCTTTGAAATACTATCGGTCTGCCTCATAAAAAAGAAAAAAAATTCACGTTATCCTGAAGTTACATAAACCTGAAGATACCTGCTAAACAGCTATTAAGGTTTCATTTTATTTTGCTTTGACAAAATGTGTTTAAAACAGTGCTTTTCACATTTTTGTGTGCATATGACTCACCTTTGGGGACCTTATTAAATGCTGATTCAAATTCAGCAAGTCTGGCATAAGGCCTTAGATTCTGCATTTGTAACAAGCACCCAGGGGGAGGGTTTTAGGGCATATAGCTAAAGGCCCGGAGATTACTGTGTATCAATTTTCAAAATACATCAGACTCAGGGTGACATTTCTCAAG